ATATAGTCTCAGAGTAAATCCTTCTAATATTTACTGACCTTTAAGATAGTCTGTCTGCTACTGCAATTGCCTGCCTAAGGGCTTTATGTGTAAAAGGCTGGCGAGGCCTAGGCACCAGTGGAAGTCCTTCCCCTTGAGTTGGGCTTACCTGTCTGGCCCCCAATATTTCCAAATTATCTCTTGTCTCATCTCTTTCATTTGCCTGCGGCCCCCTCCTCCAGATCCTGAACCCTGAACCACGCGGGACATGGGGGAACATACACACCTGCTCTTAGCTCTTCACCCATAAAGGCACCACACAGATGGAAGAAGAGGAAAACTGCACACGGTCCCCACACAGATGGAAGAAGAGGAAAACTGCACACGGTCCCTGACATTAAGGCCAGGAAACCACATCCCTAATACAAGAGCGAGGGCGCTGTGAAGAGGAACAGGGCATCGCTGCCTAAGGCTGGTCGTTTGGGCGGATCCGTAAACGTGAACATAAAGGCCCCGAGCGAAGGAAGGGGGACTGCCTGCAGGTGAGGAGAGCCAGCGGTCCTGCTGTGAGGAGACCGAGCTGCTGGTCTCAGCCCCGCCTTCATTCACTGCAAGAACAAGGACAACTGGGCGAAGTCATGTCTGCGCTCCTTCCAGCTCCAACGCCCCCGGGAGGAAGGGCTTTCTTTGTTGGTCTCAAAGCCCACGAACTGCTGCACTGAGTGGGTTCCGTCCAAATGCCTCCTCCCTCTGGGGCCGCAGAGCCCCTTTTCTCTTCACACTCTTGTTCGGTGCATCTCTCTGCCATCAAACACTGGCCAGGAGGCTGGAGAGGCTGCACCGCAGCCCAGCTCGGGGGGCCTGGGAAGCCAGGACTGGCTTCTTGCCTTCTCGGGGTCCTTCGCCATCAGGAGGAAGCACACTGGCCCTCTGTTCCCGAGCCACATGCCAGCGAGGAGACAAGAACCGCTTGCTCAATAGCCACAGGACTCCCAGCCTGAGCGCCAAGTTAGCACTGTCAGCAGCATCCTTTCTCATTCAGGGGGGGACAGAGCTTCAAGTTATGTATGGGGGTCCTGCATAGAGTGTTATACATGGAAAAAGAAATCCCGCCACGGTTGGGGAATGAAAAGACAACAGGGGAACTAAAAGACATGTACTGAGTTTCTATTTTCAGTCTGTCCCTAGACCGCATGCTGTAATGACGTCCAGGATGGAGCTTCCCGTCATTCCCAACCTCGGGAAATAGGAGGGTGAGGCGGATAAGGGGAAGCCTGGCAGGGTGATGTGCAGGTCATTTTCTTTCGAGAGGGACTACTGACACAGATACATTGCTGGGGACACACAGCCGCACAGGAAGTAGACGATCTGAATAATTCTATGACGATTTAAGAAACCAAAACTTTTATAAATGAAACAAAAATATTTCCACAAACAAAGCTCCAGGCCAAGGTGACCCCAGAAAACTGTAGCCAAAGCCTTTATAGAGACAGAAAGAGGAGGCGTGGCCCAGTCACTTCACTAGACAAGCGTAACCTCGGTCCCCACACCTGGCCGGACGGCAGGAGAACGTCACTGGGCCAGCTCATCACAGCCAGACTGCAGAGTCCTCTCACATGAGCAAAACAAACCCCGCGGTCATTTAAAAGGCCACTACATATGAAGTGCAACATTTAAAAATCAACTGACGTAACAGGATACAGGGGGGAAACCATATGATTATTTCAAAAGATACCAAGAAAGATAAATTTCAAGACCAGTTTATAATAAAACCCTCAGCAAACTGGAAATAACAAGGAACTTCTAAAATTTGCTCCAGAATACAACTAGCATCAAGCTGAACAAACATGTCCCCCCAGGGTCAGGGAGAGCCCAGGGTGGCCGCTCGGCACCATCACCAACATTGCGCTGGGGTTGGGGCTGTGGCCCAGCAGAGGGGCAGAAGTGAACGGCATACGGTCTGGAAAGAAAAAATAAAACTATGAACAAATGGCATGGGTACATGTGTTCACCATACAGAAGAAAAAACTAATCACTGAATTTTGCAGAAATGCAAGATACAAGGTCAGTATTTATAAATCAATCTTATTTCTGTACCCTAGCAACAGACACTTGGAAATTAAATGTAAGAGATCACAGCATTTATCACAGCTACAAAAAGCTATTAAGAATTTAGGAAGTAACCCAGAGCCATGCTGGAGCCGGCGTGCCTGCTCGCAAAGACCCACCCAGCACGCTTGTGTTGGTTCCCTGTTGCCCTGTAACAGGCCATCACTCGCCGGCAGCTGGTATTCCACGGCTCAGGGGGCAGAACCGCACAGCGAGGCGGGGTTCCCTGCCCAGGATCTCACAGGCTCCCGCCACGTTGTGGGCTGGGCTGAGTTCTTACCTCGAGGGTCTGGAGAAAAATCCTCTTCCACCTTTTTTTTTTTCCTTTTTTATTGTTTAAAGTATTACACATAGTGGTACATATATCTCCTCTTTTTTTTCCCAATTGACCTTTCCCCAGCCTCCCCTACCCCCTGTCACATGATACTAGCACAAGAACAGACATATAGACCAATGGAATAGAATAGAGAATCCAGATATCGACCCAAACCACTATGCTCAATTAATATTTGACAAAGGAGGGAAGAACATACAATGGAGTCAAGACAGTCTCTTCAATAAATGGTGTTGGGAAAATTGGACAGATACATGCAAAAAAAATGAAACTAGACCACCAACTCACACCATACACAAAAATAAACTCAAAATGGATAAAGGACTTAAACATAAGACAGGAAACCATAAAAATACTAGAGGAATCCACAGGCAGCGAAATCTCAGACATACACTGAAGCAATTTCTTCACCAATACTGTTCCTAGGGCAAGGGAAACTAAAGAGAAAATAAACAAATGGGACTACATCAAAATAAAAAGCTTTTGCACAGCAAAAGAAACCATCAACAAAACAACAAGAAAGCCCACTGTATGGGAGAACATATTTGCAAATGTTATCACTGATAAAGGTTTAATCTCCAACATTTACAGGGAACTCATACAACTTAATAAAAGGAAGATAAATGATCCCATAAAAAAATGGGCAATGCCCTGACTGGTTTGGCTCAGTGGATAGAGCGTCGGCCTGCGGACTGAAGGGTCCCAGGTTCGATTTCGGTCAAGGGCATGTACCTTAGTTGTGGGTACATCCCCAGTGGGGGGTGTGCAGGAGGCAGCTGATCGATGTTTCTCTCTCATCGATGTGTCTAACTCTCTATCCCTCTCCCTTCCTCTCTGTAAAAAAATCAATAAAAATATTTTTTTTAAAAATGGGCAATGGACCTAAATAGATACTTTTCTAAAGAAGACAGAAGGAAGGCCAAGAGACATATGAAAACATGCTCAAAGTCACTAATTATACGAGAGATGCAAATCAAAACAACAATGCGGTACCATCTCACACCTGTCAGAATGGCTATCATCAACAAATCAACAAACGACAAGTGCTGGTGAGGATGCAGAGAAAAAGGAACCTTTGTGCACTGCTGGTGGGAATGCAGACTGGTGAAGTCACTGTGGAAAACAGTATGGCATTTCCTCAAAAAACTAAAAATGGAACTCCCATTTGACCAATAATCCCACTTCTAGGAATATAGCCCAAGAAACTAGAAACCCCAATCAGAACGGATATATGCATCCTATGTTCATAGCAGCACAATTCACCATAGCTAAGATTTGGAAACAGCCTAAATGCCCATCAGCAGATGAGTGGATTAGAAAACATCTACACAATGGAACACTACGCTGCAGTAAAAAAGAAGGAATTCTTACCGTTTGCAGCAGCATGGATGGAACTGGAGAGCATTATACTAAGTGAAATAAGCCAGGCAATGAAAGAAAAACACCACATGATCTCACTCATTTATGGAAAATAAAGAACATTATAACCTGATGAACAAAAAGATAGATACAGAGGCAGTAAAGCATAGAACAGACTGTCAAATTACAGTGGGAAGGCTGGGGAGTGTTGGGGAGGGGGTGGGAAGAGATCAACCGAAGGACTTCTATACATGCATATAAGCACAACCAGTGGACTCTTCCACCTTATTTTTTCTGGCACAATTCACTTCCTTGCTGCTGGAAGACTGAGTCCCCCGCCTCCTGCAGGCTGTGGGCAGGGACCATCTCAGCTCCCAGGCTGCTCGCAGGGTCTCACCACGTCTCCTTACAAGTCATCAGCAGGGAGCCTGCCTCAGGTTGCATACTTCTCTGCTTTCAGTCTCTAACTCACGCTTCTTCAACCAGCCAGAGACACGCCCTGCTTTTAAAGGGCTCATGTGACTCGGTTACGCCCCTTGGATGGTCGGCCTACCTTAAGGTCAGCTGGGCCACTATCACGGGAAACCTAATCACAGGGGTACATTCCACGCCCTCACAACCTAAGGACTACGCAGTGTACACCAAGGGGGCGGGAAGTCCTGGACCGTCCTGGCGGCTCCTGCCACCACAGCATTTCCTCCAAACCCACGTTCGTTGCTCTCACGCTGTTATCTTGAAATCCACGTCGGTGGGAGTACTCCCACCACAGAAATTAGCAGATGCCGTAAATCGGGGCTTTCCTGTTGCCCTGCACCCCAAAGAGCAGGTTTATCAGCAAAGTGCTGAATAAATCTAACAAGAGATGGACCCGACTCCACACTGAGTGAGGATGGCCCACACGCATGGGCCATACCTGGTCCATGGATTGGGAAAATGTCAGCTCTCCAGCAGTGATCTGTAGGTACAATCCAATCTCAGTCAAAATCTCACTGGCTGGCTGTGTAAATCATGTGATTCTAAAATTAACACGGAGTTGGGCTCTCTCTGGGGCACGCCCACGCCTTGTTTGTGGGAATTAAAGGAACTGACAATACTAAATCCCGGCAAGAACGTGTGTAACTGTAACTCTCATTCACTGCTGCTGGGAACGCAGTTAAGACAGCCGCTGACACCCTCTGAGCAACAACTTCACCCTTGAGCGTGGTCACCAACGACATAAAAGAGTCTCAATAGTGGCTTTATTTAGGAATGGAAGACAACTCAATTATCTATGAGCAGAAGACTAGACACATAACTTATGCATATTCATAAAATGGAGTTTAACATAGCAGTGAACAAAAATTAACTACAGTCACATATAACAATGAGTGAGACACCCAGATATAATCATGAGTGAAAGAAACACAAAAGAGTACATACAGTACACATTTAATGAAATTTAAGAAGAGGCAAACTAAAACTTCTACATTCATCAAAGACATTTTGGGGATAATTAAGACGATGTAAATAAGTACAGTATTAGAGATGTGTTCATTTTCTTAGGTGTGATGATGGTATTGTTACTTTTCATCTGAAATAAATAAGAGTGAAGTGTCATGATATTTTTCAACCTACTTTTAAATAGTAAATACTAAGATCATTATTTTTATTAAAAATAAAGCTATTTTCATTTTGGAAAATTATGAGAAAGAACTATAGTTTTCTCATAAAATATAATATAAATGCTTCATTTTGGAATAAATTTTTAACCAGGAATAAAGGGAAAGATTGATATAGTTGACTATATTAAAATTAAGAACTAGTAGGAACTTCTTTCATCACAAGGTTAGTAAGAGAAAGGGTAAGCCACAAAATGGGAGACGAAATTAATGAGTATTCGCTTTACAATAATGCATTAGGCTGCATGTTTACCTGTCATGTGCTTCTCTGTGTGTTTTTGTTTTCCACAGAAGCAAATAAAAGGTTAAAAAGACATTGGGATGTAAAGGACCCAGTGGATTTGCTCAGCCAGTAGCGCTCTGAGGAGGTCTTTATCTTGCTTGTTAAATGGGTCGTTTATTTGAAAGGAGGGGTAGCTCTGCTGCCTGTGGAAGCCTTGAAAACAAACAAACACACACAAAAACTAACAAGCAATTTTCTCCAAAGTGCTGGGGAAGAAGAACCTGGGGCTGCGAAGAGGTGGGGCCTCCGCCCGGGGAGCCGCCTGGAAAATATAAAACATGAAGCCAATTAATTTTCCCTGATTGGCATAAAAATTAATTTGCCTAGAATTATTCATGCTGGAGGGTTCTAATTATTCCTCTCCATCAAGATGCAAATTGAGTTTTGTGCAAGGAAAACAAGAGGGAGGCCAGAGGAAAATGGTGGGAGACAGGCCTATAGGGAGGGAGCAGCTGGGACCCAGGGGGTGACAAACACGTAAGCATCCTGAGCTGTGTGTTTGGGGCGAGGGGGGAGATCCTCGGGGCCAGCTGCTGGAAGTTGCTCTCCCCTGAGAGGAAGCACTGAGTCAGAGAAGCACACCTGAGTGCCCATGCCGACAGCTCCGGCCCCATATGTGCCAAAGCTGGGGAGACCCAGAGCTGCTCCCTCAGCTGATGCCGGTGCTGGCGACAGCTACATAACAAAATAAAAGGATGTGCTCTATACCCATTAAACAATAACTCCTCCTTCTCCCCTGCCCCAATCCCTGGCAACCACCATTGTACTTTCTGTCCATGAGTGTGACTACTCTAGGTACCTCATAGAATCATGCAGTATTGGTCTTTTTAGGACTGGCTTATTTCACTTAGCATAATGTCCTCAAGGTTCATCTATATTGTGGCACATGTCAAAATTTCCTTCCCTTTTAAAGCTGAATAATATTCCATTGTATGCTTTGTTTATCCATTCATTTGTCAATATTGGCTATTGTGAGTAATGCTGATATAAATGTGGATGTACAAATGTCTGTTTGAGGCCTTGTTTTCAATTCTTTTGGTGGAATTGCTGAATCATATGGTAATTATACTTTTAATATTTTGAGGAATCCCCACATTATTTTCCACAACAATGGCACCATCTTATATTCCCACCAACAATGCACCAGGATTCCAATTTCCTCACATCCTCACCAACACTGGCCTTCTCTGTTGCTGTTTGTTTTTTATTTTGTTTTGTTCTACAGTAGTCATACTAATGGGTGTGGGATTGTAACTTGTCACAGCTTTGATTTTCACTTCTCTGATGATGGATGGTGTTAAGCATATTTTCCTGTGATTACTGGCCATTTGTATATATTAGTTGCTGAAATATCTATTCAAGTCCATAGCCCTTTTTTTTTTTAATCCTCACTCAAGGACATGTCATCACTGATGTGAGAGAGAGGAAGGGGGAAGACACAGAGAAAAACATTGATGTGAGAGAGAAATATGGATCGGCTGCCTCCTGTACACGCCCCGACGGGGGATCATACTGGCTAAGGTGTGTGTCCTGACCAGGAATCAAACCCACAACCTTTGGTGCATGGGAGGATGCTCCAACCAAATGAGCCATCCAGCCAGGGCCAGAGCCCATTTTTTAATTGGGTTTTTGTTGTTGTTATTGTTCTTGCTGTTGTTGATTTATAGGAGTTTTCTATATATTCCGGATATTAATCCCTTATTAGATACGTGATTTGAAACTACTTCATGCCATTCTATGTGTTGCCTTTTACTCTGTTGGTAGTGTCCTTTGATGCACAAAAGTTTTTAATTTGGATGAAGTCCAATTTATTTCTTGTTTGTTTTGTTGCCTGTGTATTTTGTGTCACATCAAATAAGTCATTGCCAAATTCAATATCATGAAGGTTTCTCCTCATGCTTTCTTCTCAGAATTTTATAGTTTAGCTCATACATTTATGTCTTTGATCCATTGTGAGTTAATTTTTGTAAATGGTATATGGTAAGGGACCAACTTGACTCTCTTCCATGAGGATGTCCAGTTTTCCCAGCATCATTTGTTGAAAATACTGTTCTTTCCCACTGAATGATATTTGCACCCTTGTAAATAACATCCGATCATATGTGAGGGTTTTATTCTCAGCTATTTCATTCCATTGATCCGTATGTCTGTTTTTTATGCCAGTACCACACTGTTTGGTTATTGTAGATTTGTAGTAAGTTTTGAAATCAAAACATGTGAGTATTCCAATTTAGTTCCTCTTTTTCAAGATTGTTTTGGCTATTCATATTCCCTTGAGGTTTTATATAAACTTTAAGATGGGTTTTTCAATTTCTTCAAAAAAATCATTGAGATTTTAATAGGATTGCATTGAATCTGTAGATCATTTTGGATAGTGTTTACATCTTAACAATATTAAGTCTTTCAATCCATAAAGTTGGGAAGTCTTTCCATTTATTTGTTTTCTTTATTTTCTTTCAGCAATGTCTTGTAGTTTTTATTGTACAAGTCTTTTTCTTCCTTGGTTGAGTTAATTCCCAAGTATTTCATTTATTTTTTCATACAATTGTAAATGGATTTGTTTCCTTAATTTCTTTTTAGAATTGTTCAAGGCTACTGTATAGAAGAAATGCAGCTTATTTTTGCATGTTAATTTTGCATCCTATTTTTTGTTGTTGTTAATCCTCACCCGAGGATATTTTTTTCCATTGATTTTTTTTTAGAGAGAGGGGGAGAGACAGAGAGAGAGAGAAACATCAACATGAGAGAGACTTGTGTTTATACCGGAATTGAGCCTGCAACCGAGGTATGTGCCCTTGACTGGAATCTAACCCGAGACCCTTCAGTCTGCAGGCCAATGCTCTAACCACTGAGCAAACCAACTGGGCAAGTATCCTATTATTTTGTTAAATGTATTAGTTCTAATAGTTTTATGTAGTATCATTAGAGTATAATCTTTTCCACTATAAAACCATATCATCTGGGAACAAAATAATTTTATTTCTTCATTTCCAATTGGATGCTTTTTATTTCATTTTCTTGCCTAATTGCTCTGGCGAGAATGTCCAGTAGTATGCTGAATAGAAGTGGTGACAGTATGTATCTCTAACCTTGTTCCTGATCTTATAGGAATACCTGTAAGATCTTAATGTCCCAATGCCCCCATGTATGGTAGCTTTCTGTCTTTCACCATTGAGTATGATGTTAGCCATGGGTTTTTCATATATGGTTTTCATTATGTTGAGGTAGTTTCTTTATATTCCTACATTGTTGAGTGTTTTTATCATGAAAATATGTTTAATTTTGTCAGATGCTCTTTTTTTGCTTTTATTGAGATTATCATGTTATTGTTGTTTTTCCTTCATTCTGTCAATGTGGTACATTACACTGATCGAGTTAATATGCTGAAACATCCTGGCCTCTCAGGCATGAATCCCATTGGACCGTGGTGTATACTGCGTTTAATAAGCTGTTGAATTCAGTTTGCTAGTATTTTGTTGAGGTTTTTGCATCCGTGTTCAGAGGGATATTGGTCTGTAGTTTTCTTTCCTCACAGTGTCTTATCAGGGCAATGCTGTCCTCAGAATGAATTAGGAAGTATTTCCTCCTTTTCAATTTCTTGGGAATGTTTGAGAAGAATTGGTATTAGTTCTTCTTTGAATGTTTGATAGAATTCACCAGTGAAACCATCAGATCCAGGGATTTTCTTTGTAGGGAGGTTTTGGTTACTGATTTCCTCTCCTTATTAGTCACAGATCTACTCAGATTTTCTATTTCTTCACAATTAAGCCTTGTTGGATTCTGTCCATTTTTTCCAAGTTGGCCAATATTTTGGAATACTGTTGTTCATAGTATTCTCTTTTAAACCTTTTAACTTCTGTAGAATTAGCCATAATGATCCTACTTTCATTTCTGATTTTAGTAATTTGGATCCTCTCTCTTCTTTCTTATTCAATCTCATAAGCTTATTCTTAAAGTATGAGTTTGCTTAAAACCAGCTCCATTAGTGGATGAGTAAGTGAGTAAGTAGGTGACTAAGTGAATATATCATATGATGATATATTATGTCCCTCTTAATGTCCCAATGCCCCCATGTATGGACATTGTCAGAGACAGCAAGAGCACTGCTCAGCACTGCTGCTCTGAGTTGCTCTGAGTCCATATATTCTTCTAAATTCTTTCCTACTACACCAGAATAGGTTCTTTCTCAAACTTACTTACTACATTAACTGTTGGGAACTTAGTCCAAGTTCCTCCTTTATCCTCTTCTCACTAGCTACAGGTGTCGGGTCCAAGCCCCTCTGCCTGGAGCTGGACCTCCTAGGACGCAGGGTCTTAGACGGAGAAGCCATGAGAGGCTGTGGGTGTGTAAGAATGAGTCTTTATTGCAGAAGCCAGTGGCCATAAGCCATTAGACAAGACAGTCCTTTATAACAGTGTCCCAATCAGGCAGCGGTACGCCAGCTGGTAAATATCTTTCCCATATAGTCACACCTCTAATATAGTCTCTGTCCCCACAGTCATTATCTGAGCAGCCACACACTGCCCCCTAGACTCACCACCTCACATAGTAGTGGCACCTGAGCTCTCCCTTAGCGCTCCAGCCTCGGTAGCCTCTCCAGCCTCTCTGGCTCAGCAGCTTCTCCTGTCTCCCCTGCCCAGCACACGGGCTGGTCTCCATGCCCTCACATGGTAACTACCTCCGAGCTTCTCCTCAGCACACTGGCTGGGGAACATGGTAGCTGTATCTGAGATCTTTGTGAGCTCTTAGCCTTACATCTGAGTACCAGCTCTCAGCCCCGTCTGAGCGCTCTAGCCTTTCCCTCCTCCAGCCCCTTCTTCATACTCCAGAACACTAGCTGGTCAGGAACTTGTATATTATTCCAGAGACAAAGAAGGTTTTGTGCCAATCGTTACATCCATCATGTTTTGGCTACAGAAGAGCACATATGCGCAGTGTACCGTGGGGTTGTTGTGCCTGTGGCCTTGCACCTGCTTATGGCATCTTAGCCTCAGCACAGAGTGGCCTTGGACATTCGGTGTATTGACAACAAGGCCTCTGTGCTTTAACTGGCCTTGACTACGAGGCGTTTCTGCCGTGGTTCCACAGACATTGGGGGGGAAAAGAACTGGGGCTCAGAAAAAAATAAAATCCTAAAAGTCAGTTTTCCTTAGAGACCCATTCAGAATGTCCACACCAGCCTCCAGAACCCAGTCCCTTCTCAGCCTTAACCTTTTCTTTCTGGCTCTTTGAAAAGTGTCCACAGTTGTGAGTCCATTTCCCTGAGTAAAGGGAAGCACCTCCAGTTACGCACAGACTGGAAAGCTGACTTGGGAAGAAAGTACTTTTCTTCACACCTCTGGCCTCCCTGCGCTGGGCTCACTCCTGCCTCAGCATGGCCAGAGCCTCCTTCTCCCCCAGTGCAGCCTCGCACTGCAGTCTTCCTTTCTCTCCTCCAAACATAACCTCTGGGGCCCAGGCGGGGGCACCGCTTCAGGGACTGATTAATCCAATGAAGTTACCAGGTTAAGACCCTA